ACAAATGGAAGCGTAGAAGGCAAATTTTGAAGCTTCAAAGATCTGCTGATTTCTCATTCGCGGAGCTGAAAAACCGAAGCCACCATTTTTATTTTCTGGATGCGCAAGTGCGCCATAGAGAGTCTCTATTTCCTCATCCATCAAATTTTCACACACTGTTGCGACAAACCTTGTCTTTTGCGAACCCCACTTTTTGCCTCTATTGCAATTTTCAATTTTGCGTTGGCGCCAAAAAAACGCAAGGTAAACATGCACTCTGTGACTGTAAGGATTGTTAGCAGCTAAGGGTGGTGAGTGTGAGAGTCCGTGTTGGCGTTTTTTTGTACCGGTGGAGGCGCTCTGTGTGCAGGTTTTGCAAGTCACCTCAGTCGAGTGAGTGAGAGAGTGGGTGTTGGCGATCTTGCCTCGCTGCTTTGCAGTCCATACCTGGGCATTGCTTTTGCCACAGCGGGAAATGGCAACCACTGGGAAGGCCCACTGTGGCGACCCCCGGACTCTACAGCGTTTTTGGACCTCGTTTTTGGGGCCGCCGGCGGAGCATGTTTTGGCCAGCGTTGTGATCCAGCTGTTCTGGCATGGTGTAATAATGGACGTTTTGCATGCTTGGTGCTTTTTTGTTGTCGGCTGTTTGTTGTTCGTCCGTTTGGGTGGGTGGAAGGGGTGGCATTGCGTGGTCAGTTGCATGTTTGGTGGGTTGCGTGCGTCGTTGCGCGATGGGGCTTGTTACGTGGAATTTTCAGAACCATTTGCTGAGAAGTTGTTTGTTTGGTCCCTTTTTCCGCGGGCATCTTTTGGGTTGCGAAGTTGGTTGGGCCGGATTTTTTGGCAGGGTGTTCGCCGCGTATTGGCGCAGGTTGGCAACAGAAGCTTTTGGATTTAGATATTTCCGTTTCAGGTCAATTTTTGTTTCAGGTTTTGGTTTCCAACTCAGACATGCCTGGAGATTGGCAGCAGAGGTCGCTTGCTCCTGGCGCCTGAATGTGTGACAATTTCTTGCGCGGCGGAGATTCTTGGCGACCAACCCTATGTGATGTAGGCTGGCGGTTGAGTTGGTTGGAATCATGCCCCAGAATGATTTGAGCGCTTTTCTGGTCGAGTGTGAGTTTTTTGGGTCATTTGCAAGTTGAGTCCAAGGCAGAAGTGGTTTTCCAACGGCCGAGCAAGACTTGATTTCATGTCCTCTCCATGCTGGACAAGGTCTGCTACGGCGGGATTTTTTGGCAGGGTGTTCGCCGCGTATTGGCGCAGGTTGGCAGCAGAAGCTTTTGGATTTAGATATTTCCGTTTCAGGTAAATTTTTGCTGGAGGTTTTGGTTTCCACTTAGACATGCATAGAATTGGCAGCAGAGGTCGCTGGCTTGGCTGATGGACGTGACGTGCCTGCTGCTCCTGGCACCTTGAGCGTCGCTGACAATTTCCATGCGCGGCGGAGGTTTTTGGCAACCGACCTTGGTTGGAATCACGCCCCAGAATGATTTGAGCACTTTTCTAGTCGAGCTTGCAAGTTTTTTGAGGTGGAGCGGGTGTTTTGGAAGTTGAACCCATGAGGCAGAAGTAGTTTTCCAATGGTCGAGCAAGACCTGATTTCATGTCCGCTCCACGCTGGACGAGGTCTGTTACACCGATGACGAGGCCGGACGAGGCCTTGTTGCCACCTCCTCTCCACGCTGGACGAGGCCGACTGCGCGCGTGACGAGGCCGAGCGAGGCCTCCAAAGACAGGCCATTTTTCATCCTCTCCACGCTGAACGAGGCCGACGAGGCCGAACGGGGACCCGGGACCTTATAATACTTTTAAAGGAGTCCCAATTGAAAGTGGATTGGTTGTTGCGTTTTTTGAATCCACAGGGCTTGGGTTTAGAATTTTAGCCCGCAGCTGTTTCCAAGTCGTACGGTGAGCTGCAGCAGTTGCGGCCGTGAATTTGGCGGCCCCAAAAACGAGGTTGAAAAGCGCTGTGGAGCCCGGGGTCGCCAAAGTGGGCCTCCCCTGTCGCCGTTGGACGCAATGCAAACATTGGGCGTATCGGGGCGTCGACGCTGGCCTTGCGCAAGGTTTGGCGTTCCCGCGGGTAGCAATCTCACCTCGCGCCTGGAATGGCTCGGATCGACCGTTCGTTTTCAGCATTTTCGAACGGAAGCGCTACAAAAATGCATCAACGAGCGGCCCCTATTTTGGGGGACGGAATCTAACCTCCAAAACGGGGGTCATGAGGCAACGAAATAGCAGAGCAAAATGATGTTCACGTTGTCCCCCATTTTGGGGGGTCAGATTCCGTCCCCAAAAATAGGGGCCGCTCGTTGATGCATTTTTGAAGCGCTTCCGTGAAAAAACGCTGAAAACGCACGGTCGATCCGAGCCATTCCAGGTGCGAGGTGAGGTTGCTACCCACGGGAACGCCAAACCTCGCAAGTCCAGCGTCGACGCCCCGATACGCCCAACGTTTCCATTGCGTCCAACGGCGACTGTATTGCTGCCTCACGTCAAGCACACAACATGCATCAAGTCAAACTTTCTTAACACTGCCTGGTGTTCCAGTCACTTTTTTTCCACAAGTGCGGACGCCATGTGGGCACTGTGCCCAGGTTATCATTGAAGGATGGGAAACACTGCATGATGATGAGGTTAGAAAGTAGAACAAAACCAAAAACCAGCAACCCAAAAAACAACAAAGCCAACAGCAGCACAAAAAAAGAAAACACAACCACACCAAAACCAAAACCTCATCAAAACTGGCTGCTACGTACAATCTAACGGCCTGAATTCACAACGAAAATGCCACAATACATCTGGGTGTGAGTCCATCTCTGAGTGGCCAATCAAATGTGGCCTCATTCTGTGACAAGGTGCACTCGCCCATGCCACTACTGCGAGTGGCACTCGGAGTTGACTTCCTGCAAGGTGCCAAGGTTGGAGTTCAGCAGTATTGACACTTGCCAAGGGTGTCAGGGGTTGCAAAAGCCAGGCAAGCCAAGGAAAATTCCCCCTTCGTGGCAAAAAACTTTGCAACCGATTGCACGAAGTGAGAGGCACTTCTTAAGTCTGGTAGTGGGGGCAGCAACGAATGGACTGCTGACGAATGCGACACATTCTCTCCCATCCAAGAGGTCTCATTCGCACCCCTTGGGTGCCAAAAGGGAGTGATGCATTCTGACATGGTGTGCATGAATGTGCATGTAGAAATGGTGGACCAGGAAACCCAAGCATTACAATGGGTTGATCGCATTTTCATGGCCCGGTTCCAAGAGCAAATCTGGAAGATGGAAAACGAATGCTTCACGAAAGCGCAGATGAACTTGAAGCACACGTGGAGTCCTGTTTGAAAGAAAGGAGATTGCAGACAAGTACAGCAGCAAACTCGAAAATCGCTTGCACCAGCTTCGAATGAGACAGGCTGGAGGGGTTCTGCATTTTTCTGTGATGTGCCTCATTTTGCGAGCGCAAATGGTGAGACAGTGCCATGTGTGCTTGGCTGAAAGGAGGAGTGACAGACCTTTTTAAAATTATAGGTGCCTTATGTTATTACTTCTATTATGGCATTATATTTTGTCCCCTTATGTTTTTCCTTCATTAAAATATAATGCCATAAGATGATAGTAATTAATTTATTGATGGCATGGTCTTACAACCTCTCTTTTTTAATTAAAGACCATGCCAAATATCAAGAATTAAATCATAAAAAGGCGAGGTGGAAGGATACAAAGGTTTACAAAAGGAAACAAAAATAATGACCTCGCCTAAATATATTAAGCCTAGTCGATGACCTGTGAACGTAATTAAATTAAAGTGAACATCATGATATATAGAAAATAAGAAAGAAATAAATATAATCACCACTATTTTTATATTATGGTATCTTCTTTATTAAAAATAGTGGTGATAGATAGAAAATAAATAATAACCATTAATTTTCATATAATAAGAGATTTTATAGTAGATGAAAATTAATGGTCATACATTTCTTATATTTTTCATATCTTTGCCATTCCATTTTATAAGAAAAGAAGAGAGAATTATTGATAAAAATGGAATGGCAACGGAACCATGATAGTCAACCAAGCACATGAGCGCATATCATGAAGACGCAGACACGATGACCAATTAGGCTCAAGTTTGCGTTTGCAAAGACGCATCCGCACTTTTTCACTTTGTGAAAAATCTTTGTAGACTTTGTGAACACTTTGTAAAGATCAATAACTTTGTAAACTGCTGTAAAGTTTCAATAAATTGTGTCATTCAACAATCGCCGAAACTTGGTCAGAGGTTTGTAAAACTATAACACTTTGTCCATTTTGTACCAACTTTGGAAAATCACGAATATTTAATCTGCAAGTGAAATGTTCAAGCACTGAATTTTTTCCTTTTTGTAGAAACCTTGGAAAACTTGTAAAGTTTTGCAAAGTCACGAAGACTTTGTAAATGTAAATCTCATCAACCGTGGAAGTCCGCTGTAAAGCACAAAGACTTTTGGAAAATTGGTTAAATTTCAAAACAAGTGATTGTGTGATCGATGAGACTGATTCCGTTTTTTTGGTGAAACACGTGCCATCTGGAGCAGCACTTTGGGATTTTTTGGAATGATGGATGTAGTGATCTATAGTGATTAAGGATGAGAAACAGGGTTGAAATGTTTTTCACGGCTGTTGGTTGTACAAATGTTTTGACACCTCGCCACGGAAACGCCCAAACTCATTTTCATTGTTTGCAAATTACATTGGTGCAAACATTTTGTGAAAACAAACACGCAAAAGACAAACAACTCGACAAATTGCAGCCATGAGGTCATTTCCCACCAAAACGATGGGGTGAACCACATAGCAGCAAAGAATTCAGGTGTGAACCTTGGAATTTGAATCAACTGTTGGGGGTGAATTGCTATTTTGGGATGAATAAAATCACCTCGATTTGGTGTTTGCTGTTGCTGATGACGGAAGATCATGCAGTTTACCTGTCGGATTTCAGTTCGTGCAGAGGCGCAGAGGAGGGCCACGAATGACGCGCGCAGCTCAAGACCCATGGGGTCAAAACGTATCCTTCTTTATTAGGTTTTCTGCGTTTTTCATGTGGCGAACGCTGGCTTTCATTTGCTTGGCACCTGCGTCAGCCTCCCAATGTTCGACCGCCATTGAAGCGGACGGTGAGGAAACTGGCGTGCGCTTGTTGCAGCATCATGCTGCTGCATTGCCATCGGGTGCATGTGGTGCCGGTCAAGGTCGACCTGCGCCGGGGGCTCCATGCCTTCCGTGTGCGGAAGGTACTTGGAGCACTGACGGCACGTGCACAGCGTGCACTGCTGGCACTTGGAGTGGCCAAAGAGGTGCAGAGTCTCCAACAACATGCGAAAAGTGCCCCATGGGAACCTGGAGCAGCCAAGTTGGCGCCACTGCATTGCAGGCAGGAATCAAAACCAGATCAATTTCAAGAAGAGTAGCCAGCGGTGCACTGTTGTCGTTGACCACAACTCCAATTCATTTTTGCAATGTCGAGGAACATTCAACCGAACATTTTTTTTTTTTTACTTTTTGCCTTTTGCCCGCAGGCATGCATACTTTGCCCACCAGGAACCTGGAGCAACGAAACTGGTTTGGGTGGCGTCTTGCTTAGCACCAGTGACGTTACCTTGTTGGACCATTGAGGGGTGATTTCTCACATGGCATGCCTGGCGAATGAACGAATTCTTCGTTCGAAGGATTCAATTGTTTAATAATGTTTCAATGTATGCGCCTACGGACCGTCCTGCTCTGACATACAAAGCTGGGTGTGTATTGAAAATAGGGAGACCTCCCAAAGACCCCCCTGGAAGATGGGAAATAGACCAAAACCCATTGGTTGGGGTCTCCCACTTCATTCTTTGCATTGAGGAATCAACTCCTGTAGCCCTTGCCCTGCTGGCACCTTCAGCTCCGCGGAAGGAGCCACCAGCCTGGAGACTTGTCACTTGGGACTGAAATGCGTTCCTCAGAAAAGCAGGTTTGTCTCTTCGGTTCCATCAGCTGTTTTTCTCGAAAGGCGAGATTGCCAACGTGAGCCAACGTGGCTGTTTGTTTGGATGTGGTTGTTTTCGAGAAACCCTTTCTTCGATGCTTGTTCCGGCTTTGATCCTGTGGACGGTTCCAGATCCCAGGCAAGGCCTGTTTGCCAGGGACGTGGAGTGGAGTGTGCCTTGGTGTACATTTGGACTTACCAGAATTCTGCACTGGCAGCTCTTATTGACTGCTCTGTCTTTTGTTTGGAGCAGTGCACCCGCCCTTTTTTTGAGTGTCTAGCAAATGTGAGAATCATGACCAACGTGTGAATGTGACAGGCACCCTTGCACTGATACCTTTCGTCAGGATTGGTGCCAACGAAAATTTGTGTGCAAACTGCACCGCTGGTCGCTTCAGCACGAAAGCACGCAGCCTCGGGTTATATATACATGAAACTGCTTAAAACCGTTGAGTTTGAACAGCTGTGGAGGAATCTTGACTGAGAAATGTACACTCACTAGCCCAACCCAGTCTGTCTTTCTTGGCTTTATCTTCCTTGGTCCCTGATTGTGCTTCGCTGCCTCTCTTTGCCAGTCTGGTGCTTCAGTCGTTGAGAGCTGTCAGCCTTGTCCTCGTGGATTCTGGAGCAGCACCGAAGGAGCCAGCCTCGATGTGCTTTGGAGTCTCGTGCTGCAAGTCTCCAACACTTAAGTCGGAATACTAAGGGAAGAAGCAACACGTATGCGACGTATGTGGATCTTCCCAGATTTTCCAAGGTCTTTTTTGGGATTTGCTTTGCGGTGGGTGTAGCAACCATTTTTGATGGAGGGTGTCCGATCTGTGTCAATCTCGACAAAAGCATGTTAAAGACCCCATTGCCCCGTAACAGTGAGGCTCACTGAGGATGTGGGATTTGCAGCGAATTGTGTTGAAACCCAACCTGCTATGAGGGTCTCACACCAAACCTCACTCAAAAATACGTCCTTACTTTCATATCCCTCCTTTCTTCAAACTCTAATACTTGACCATGCTTCACCTGGAGCGTTGCTGACATGGAGCTTTGAATCCACACAAATAGGGGAACACCATTTTGGACACCGAAAAGAACTGCCTGATCAAGGTAGTAGTGCTTGGCAGGAGCCAGTGAGAGCACCACCTGCATCGCGTGTCCAGCGGGAACGGTGGGCGAGAACGAGGGCTCCACGAGTTCTGACAATTGTGCAGCCTGTCTGCCTGGAAGGCGCGGAAATGCGCGGAACATGGAAGAGACTCGGAAGAGACTCGGAAGAGATGTAGATCCAAATCCGGCCTGAGATTTGTTTGTGGTGCCAGTGAATCCCAGGCCACAGAATCGAAGGTTGGTCTAAAAGATCTTGAAATTGTTGGACACGTTGATTTGACAAGATGTTTTGCTGGCAGATTTGTCAGTGCACCTACATGCCTGCGGACAACCGTTTCAGTGTCAAAATGGCTGGTCTTGTCGCTACACGGATGGTTTTTTTCATTGTGCTGTGACTTTCAGGTGGAGTGATCAGGCTGGTTTGGGCTGGATTGACAACTGCACCAAGCACCCTGGCAGCAACTGGGCTCCAGTGCTCAGGAATCATCCAGAGAGTTTGTGGATATTCTTGTATGTTGTGTCTTTCCTATTGCCTGTAGTACTGTAGCAGTTGCAGAAGGGTTTATTACATGGAATCATTCGCAATTTTCAAGAATAGGGTATGGCATCTTGTAGGGAGGGTGTGTTACATGTTGCCTTGAGACAGCTGTCCACCGCAGATATTTGTGGTTATCGTCATTTCCAAGAAAGAATGGTCAATGGTAGTCACATTGTAGAACGCCCAAAGTAGCTTTGACCAAGCTGTTAATTCCCAGAGGACTGAGTCCACCATTAGACTATTGGCATATTTTGTATCTAAGAATTCAGTGGAGACGCGGCATAATCGGGCATCAAAGCTTCTAGCTCTGTTCAACTTACCACAACTTGTTGTAGCCGTTGCCGCCCACTCTCGAGGATCAAGACCTTTCGTTGGTTCTTCTAGTCCAGTGCTGTAGGTGTCCTGTCGGGACCTACAGCAACATCTCCGGTGCCACAGAGTCCTCCACCTGCCTTCCATGCCCGGCCGGCAGCTATCAGCCCATTGAGGTCGGGAGGTGACCCAAGTCAGCAGAATGAGGTGATCAAATTGATACATCGGCAAGCATGTGCACACAGCACCACTATATAATGATACCAGCATGGACCCAAACAGTTTCAGCATTACTTTTTGGCGTCAACTCCTTGAATTCCAATGCTGATGGTAACGTCTGTATTGGGAATGGCATGTAGACAAAACATGTTAGAAAACAATAGTTCCTGATTCCCAGGGTCACATGCGCAACCACTGTCATGAGAATATCAAACGCTACATCACTGTCTTTCACTCGGAGACTCATAGCCACACGAAAACATACCCGGACAAGGGAGAAATGGAGAGCGGCTTGGACACAGGGCTTACGAGCGCGGTCAGAAGACAGCAAGCAACACCCGGACACAGGGTTCAGGGGCGTGGCCAGAGACTGTGGCCAGTGTCTTCTGTGTTAACAGAGAACCCCAACAGTAAACTGTTTGTGGAAAAAAGAATCATGGCCAACATCTGCGCGTTTTTCGAGTGTTGTCGCAGACCCGGCGGGTCCCTTTCTCAGCATTTGACCTCGTCCAGACAGGCAGCAGCCGAGCTGGCACTGTGCATTCCCTGTGCTGTGGGGAACTTCTCGAACCAGCCGGGGGTCTCCAGCTGCAAGCGTTGCCCAAAAGGCACGAAAAGACGCTGAAAAGTAAAAAACCGTGAAAGGACCTTGCAGGTTTTCTTGAAGGCTCTAGGCCTTGATGTCAAAGCAAGGTTGTGTGTTGATGTTGACTCAGTGATGCATGGATACTTGCCATGTCGCTCATAAATATGGCTACACAACTTTGCACTTCATGTTTCACCGGAACCAGACCTTTGGCGAGTGAGGGCAGTTTTTTGGGGTCAAAAAGTTGCCACCAAAGAGAAGGGCTGACATCTTTTGGATTGGCACAGGTGATTGAGGAAAAAAAATCCATTCTGACTTGCGGATCAGACTGGGTATTACTCATAACAGTTTGTAAAAAATGATCAGTATTCTTGGGAAAGGCCTTTACTAATCTCCACCACCACCGCGACTACCACCACCAGCATCATCATCATCTTCCTCCTCCTCCTCCTCATCCTCATCCACCGTTACTGGTATTGGGACATACCCAAGAACAGACCAATACAACCTTGGCAATTCTGCATTCGTGGCCAGGCACCTTTGGTGGTTTTTTGGCTGCAGCGGTGTTCGGGCTTGGCCGTGAGAGTTGCTGCAGATCTTTTTAGTTTTAGGACTTGGCTTGAAAAGTCACGACTGGTGGCAAAGACTAGCAAGTGTCATTGAAAACCACACTCTTTTGGCCAACCAACCTCAAACAAGTGCATGCCTGTCCGCTTCAGATGGGTTTTCCTACACCGCTTGCAATGCATGCCCGGAGGGCACTTGGACAAGTGACGAAGGCAAGAAGCGTTTGCAGAGACACTTTTTCGCATGAACCAGCTTGTGGTTAGAGTCAGCAGATTCCTTGTTTGATGGTGTCTCAAGCAATAGCAATGGCCGGTGGAATTTCTTTTTTACTGTATTTCTTTTTCATTTCTCGATAGAAGGACCCAACCCGAACCGTGCATATCACCTTGCAGGATCCATTCGAAGCGATCAATGCAGCAGCAGCATCGCGCCACCCAGCACCACAACAGTCACAACAACAGTCACCACTACAGTCACCACACGGACCATCACACAGACTTTCACCACGAGAATGAGTACCAAGACTGTCACTTCCACAGTGACCACCAGTGTTACCACTTCCACTAGCCAAAGCATCTCCAGTGAGGCTAGTGCTTCCGCCACGAACTCGGTGAACTCCCCCAGCAACTCCACCGGTGGAGCTTCCACGAACGCCAGCGGAGTTGCCGGCGTGAGCAGTTCGGAGGGAAGTGAAGCCGAGGTCGGGGGGCCCAGCAAGGCCAGGTGAGCCCCAGCGAGGCCCAGTGGTACTTCTTCAAAAGGGACTTTCTTTTTTTTGTTTGTTTTTTCGGCCTCCCAATCTTGGCTTTGAGCTGCACAACCATGGTTTGCCTGCGGGTCATTGACCGAGGCCGGAGAAAGCTCGAGCAAGCTGGTTCCTCAGTGGGTGGAAGACAAGCCTTTTCAGGGGTGTATTAGTGACATCGTTACTCGTCGATTAAGAAGCGGGCATGGGCGCCCTGGGTCAAAACCTGTTCGGATTTGATTGATTTTGTGCTGGCTACTGGTTGTTTACTACTGTTAGTCTGCTGGTTGTCTGCACTGTCTACACCTGGGCCGATGGGCTCAATCTGGAACGTTATAAGTCATGATGCTACACCCACACCCCGTCTAAGGCCTTGCGCCAAGGTCTTCGATCAGTGTGGCGGGGGAGGACGGGGCGAGGGTCGACCCTCCACTGTTATGGAACGTAGCTCTTAGCCACTGGAACACGTGGATGTCAACTGAAACCACATGAAAACCGCGCAGAGCACACTGGTTGAACACACTCCCCTCGACTTACGATTCTTGGATTTGTTTGTCGATCGATCGATCGATCGATCGTTCCTTGGTTTCTCGTTTGAGGAGCAATCAGCCGCTGCTGTGAGCGCGGCTCCTCTTGCGATGACTCGCGCATGGAATATTGGTCCCGGCCTCACCCGCATGCACTTGGAGTCGGTTTCGGTGCTCTTCAGTCCCCACACGCAGGAATGGGATCATGATAAGGCGAGCTTTTAACAATATAAACTACTGGAAAGCTGTGAAACGTAGAGAAAGGTGGTGACCTGAGGGACTCACTTGCACTGTCGGCACTCCATGTGAGGCAATGCCTTCCAGCCAAGACCTCCATGGACTGCACCTTGGCCGTTGATTTTCTTGAACATTTCAGTCATCATGAGTCATAGCCCCTGTCGTGCTTGTCGTGCCTTTTTTCGTGCTTGGTCTCCAGCAGGTGCTGGTCTGGGAGAGCGTTGCGGTGGCAAAGGCTTCTATGGACCCACCGAGTGCTGCTTGAAGTCCAAAAGTTGTGGCTTGGAAAATCAGAATGAGCACACGAAGAATAATCTTTGCTTCATGAGTTGTAGAAGGAGGACAGAGACGGACAGAGCCCATTCGGATTTGAAGTATTCACATTTTCCCAGGTGTGGCAAAGAGCAAGTACTATTCCATTTGCGAGTGATGTGGCCTTGCAGAAGTCCACACAATTCTTCAACCCCTGCTAGCATACTGGTTTGGTGAGCGGCTCAATGATGGCCTGGAGCAAGTCAGCCAAGCAGGTAGACCGCCAATGCATAAACGCGTTGGATTCTTCGTACCGCCGGAACCTCACAAATTCCATGAGCCATGTGAGAAGATGAAACTTGTTGAGGAGAAAGATTCCGGCCTAGCTGCATAGTCTTTTGATTCAGTAGGTGGAATTAATTAGGAAATGAGCCTGGACAAGCGGCTCAAACACCTTGCTGATGCGAGCAAGACATCAGGATAAATACATAAAAAGATGCTCAAGAACAGCGGGCTAGCAGATCGCAACTACATTTGTAGATTTACTCGGAGCACTTGAAGAAATGCAGCTCCTTGCACTTGCCAACGATGGACTCTGCCTTTTGATCCAGGTCCAGAGTTAACATGCCATAGCGATTCTGCAGTGATTCTTTGCCTCAAGACTGCATCCCTGAGTTTGCGCCATGATTTTAGAAGGACACTTGGGTTGGGTTTCGAAAGGTTTTGTGGGTGATTGAAGCAAATATAGCCCGCGCTCAGTATCAAACCAGATTTAAGATTTACCGCCCCAACAAACTAACATCTAGCCTCTGCACCGTACCGAACATCAGATGTTCAAAATAGGATTTGCCAACATGGCATATCGCAGCCCCTCGTTTGCTGTTAGCCTTTTGTATCAATGAAGCAATTGCTTCTCAGTTCCTGTAAGGACTCCTGAGGTATTTGATGACGCCGCAGCTTCAATGCCCGTCGGCCAGCGAAGAGAAGGAAGAAGAGCTTCAGGCGTGTTCCGTTGGAGAAGCTGGAGAAGCAATTTGGGGAATGAGGTTGGCATGACACGACATGACCTGTTTTGCTCCTTCGCGACAGAACGTTTAGAGTCTGTGGGTCAGCGGAAAGCTTGAAAGACTATCCGCTTTTCAATCCCCTCAACAACCAAAAGAACCTTTTCTGGCAGAATGCAAACTAGGAGGTGTTGGGAACTGGGAACTGTTGTCCAACTCGTTAAGAAGAGAAACCACTTGGCGCTACCATTCAAAACAAAAAGGCTCCGTAGCTCGATCGAGCACTTGTCAGGTTCTTAAAGTTTCGGGCCCATCCTCAGCAGTTTGCAGGTCTGTGAGGAGGTCCAAGAACATGTAGAACATGTCGCTGAGTTCCTGGACGTGGAGCCCAGGCAGTGAGGGTGTGGACGTGCAATTAAACATGATTGAGTGGTGGCAACTGGCTTGGTGGCACAATCCGCCTTGCTGTTAAATTCTTCCCTTTGCCTTTACTCATTATATGGGAGTAAATCCAAGACTCTTCTTCAACCAAGAACAAGCGTCCAATCTGACATCCCTATCATTGGACTTTCTTGTCCATAAGCGCTTGCTTGATCCAGTGGCTCTCTTGCCAAGTTTGGCACCTGCATTTTTGGAGTGATTACCCACTCAGCTCAGCTATCACAAGTTGAAACAAATTTGCCTCTTTGCACCAAAGTGGCAGTGAAGATGAGCATCTGAAACGAAGAAGTTGTAATCAAGAAAAGTGAAGTGAGGAAAGATGCCAAACGCAAAATAGGGAGGGGGCCGACCGATTTGTGTGTGCCTGAGGCCAGGGCCCAAGGCTTTGGCTGTCGAGGATGAGGTGCTCCGAGAAGTTGGGCTACATCCATTCGCCGAGCTTTGGGCAAAAGCAAGCTTAACAAACCAAAGTGGGGCCTTTCTGAAAGAAAGGAAGGAAAGATGGGATGGAAGGAAGGAAGGAAGGAAGGAAGGAAGGAAGGTCGGTCTAAAGGCCTAAAGATAAAGGACGAGAAAAAAGAACCCAAGAACCCAAAGGACCCAAAGAAGCTCGAACAGTTCTTTCTAAAGGACCGAATCTCCAAGGAAGCCGGGATTGAAGCATCAGCGAAGGCTCTTCGTGATGTATGTGTGCGGTCGCTTGTTTGGAGACTAATGGGTACGGAGGCTACGGGTGGGGCATCAACAAGGCCTTGGTTGGCAACTGAGTCGTGGAGCTTTGAGGAGTTGCTTGTGAGGGTTTTGGACACCAGCAATTGAAGCTGCCCACTCGCCAATTCTCAAATACATGCTGGTAGCCAGGTGGGTACCCGCTCTTAATTTGTGACTTTCTTTTGCGTCTGCAGATAAGCTGCAAGTGGACCACTGCAAGGGTCAAATTCCAACTTTTCCATTTGTGACCTGCAGATACTCGAGCAATGTTCGTTCTCTTTTTTTTTGTGTGTGTGTGTGTGTGTCGCAGAGTTGTAAACAAATACAATGTTACAATGTGCTTAGCTTGTCCCTCGTGAGGTTTCAGTTGACTCTGCTGGAAGTGGAGCCTTTGCTTCTTCCTCCATGGATCATGGACACAGCGTTTCCCTCGCGGGACTGATTTGCAGGGGGCAGGTTGGTCAGTTGTAAAAATTCAGATCAACTGGCCGAAGCAGATCTGGGATGCAAGCTGAAGGCAGAAGACATGTTAACACAATACATGCCCAATCTCATGCTGCTCGGGAAGCTGAAATCGGCTTGCTGTTTGGCCAAGTGATCCAATTGATCAGGAGATGTTCTTTGCTTGCTTACATCTGGAAGCTTGCTTTCAGCAATGGCCAGCAGATGCTTGGCAAAGAGCAAGAGTCGCATGAGTTGACAAAAGACTACACTCGTATCTTGCCGATCTCACCAGTCACATGCAAGCTGCTTCTCAAGGCATTATTGTGCATTATTGTAGAATCATGTTTACCAGTGTAACAGTTTTCTCGTTCTTGATGAGTTGTCGATCCTGTTGCTTTTGTTTTTGAGTCTGATTTGACGTGCAGGCTGAAGTTGGCACTACCACCCTGAAAAAGAAATAGAATTGAACAACAATATACTGTATAGATTTTCCTGTCAAAAAGCGTTCCTCCGCTGTTCACGAAAGAATGTACTTCAACGAAGAGATGTGGGATGCTGTAGTGGTCCGTGGTCAGTGTGGCAAAACCCGGTCGGTGTGATCCGGAACGAAAACGCTTCGTCAAACGAAAACGCAGAGGGGTCGATTTTGCTCCCAAACTGCTCCGACCATCTTTGCGGCTCAGAATGGAGAGAACTTTGAGAAGACCATCAACAATGACAGCATGGACTTATTCTTCGGTGGCGCAGCTGAGTCAGGGTTGGTCGAGTGTCAGTTTGATACTAAAAGGGAGTCCTCGCATAGTACATAATTTATATATCCTTTGTAACGGAAGCCATCCGATAGGCTAGGCTGAAGTTCTTTTAAGCGAACGAAGTCTGCTGGGGAGGGTAGGTGAAAAAAGACAGGTTTTGGAAGGGTGAGCCCAGAGCCTGCTGGCGGAGAGCGAAAACGATGGTTGGACAACATGTCGCTATATATTTGTGATGCGAGTGATGCCGCACCAGTTGATACCAGCATCTTTTTGCATCATCAACTGGGCATGACGGCATCTTTGGAGTGCTTTGTCAGGTTTGTTGGGTCCAATATGAGAACTGCGAAATAGCATTCACAAACCCATACTGGTGACCGCAGGCCCTTAGTGCTGAGAAACGTTGCACTTCCGCATGGTAGCGGAGCCGTGATGTCGATTCTTTCAAGTCTCGACTGAGCTCCAGCGCGGATTGGAGCCCCAGGGTTTACTTTCGCCCTCGCCGAGCGACCATATAGAGCTAGTGTGGCAGAGTTCTCGCAATCTGAGCTTGTGTCGATTTGACGGCCCAGCGTGAACTCCACCACCGATCTTGGCCTTGCCCCCATCTTGGAATTTGAAGAGGTGTTTGAGGAGTCGGCGGAGCTCCTACCTCCTGAGGCCCAAGAAGGTCCCTGACACGGAGAAGGGTGTGAGAGAAGATGGATGGATCGGGAGGTGAACTCCCGATGGCAGGAGCTGGCATGGCTGAGCTCACCCAGGCTTTGATCGGTGCTGCTCAAGCGGCCACTCTAGCCGCCAGTCAGGCTGCCCAGGCTACAGCGAGTCAAAACTCTCCTACAGGTGGAGGTGATGTTGGTGGGCTGAAGAAAGATTTGGCCAAGTTGATACCACGACCTCAAGTGTTCAACCCCGCTGACCGTGAGCAGGAGGTTTTACAGTGGAGAGATTGGTTTTGGAGTTTGAAGCGGTATTTGGTAGTTGTTGATGGAGCATACCAAGAAGAATTAGAGAAGATGGAGGCCAATCCCACTTCAGAGTACGACTGGGACTTGATGTCAGATGAGGACCAGCAGAGAAGCCGCTTCTTGTATTCCCTATTGGGAGGATTGATCCAAGGCAGGCGCGTCGGAGTCCTGAAGACAGTGGACAAGTTCAACGGCTATGAAGCTCTGAGGCAGCTCCTTGGAAACTGCCAACCCCAGGCGAGGAATCGCACGATGAACTTGCTCCAAGGGATAATGGCATATCCCCAGTTCAACATGAAGAACTCACTCCTGCCACAGATCTTGAAGTTAGAGGAGCACTTCACTCAGTATGAGCGCCTTGGAGGAGGAAAGTTGGCTGGTGATATGAAATCAGCAATCCTCCTGAGGTCCGTGGGAGGCCAAATGAAGACTCACCTGAACATCACGTTGAATGAGGGCAGCAGTTACAACAAGATCAGGGAGTCCATCCTAGCCTTCGATACAGCTACGACAAGATGGAACGAGTCGGCTGCCTTGTCCTTCTCAGGTATGAGCCCAATGCTTCGACGACTGACGGTCCGGTGCCCATGGAAATCGACCGAGTGCAGAAGGGAAAGGGCGGCAAGGATCCGAAGGGAAAGGGAAAGGACTTGAAGTCAAAAGGAAAAGGAAAAGAAGAAAAGGGCAAAGGCAAGAGCAAGAATGGGAAGTTCGGCGGAGGAGCAAAAGAAGGTAAGGGCAAAGGAACAAAGGACAACAAAGGGGGCAAAGGAAAGGGCAATGGAGAGGTTTGCTGGACGTGCGGTAAGCCTGGTCATCAGGCGAAAGACTGCTGGCGGGTGAGACAGGCCGAAGCACCAGCCACCCAAAGTGTTGCAGGATCAAGGCAGCGCACCACATCACCGTCGACTACCACGAGTGGCACTGGTGGTGGAGGAGATCAGAGCACGGCAGCAAAGTCAATTCGAAGAGTTTCGCAACCAGCTGTTTTTGATTTGCGAGAAGCTTCAACAGGTGGTTCAATTCGAGTGGTGCAGGAAGCAACCGTGGAGT